ATTTCTGATTTTATCAACAGCTCATCGATGAAAGTTTTTGAAAGAATTAACATTGCTACAGATTTCCTTGACCAAAAGCCAGAGGAATGGTACAAAAATATCAACTATCAAAAAGGTATACCTGCACTTAGTCAAGTAAAAGTTGTAAATGATGCAGCTAAGAAGGGAGTGAAATTAATAACTGATTTCATTGACAAAATTACTAAAGACGAGGAACAAAAACAATTTTTGATGCATATAGTTTATGACTACCAGCATAAGTATCCTGACGCAAAACAAAGTACACTTCCAAAATAAAGTCGATAATTTAATACAATTTAAAATTTTAAATTATGAGTTCCAATTTAAATAATATACTACTTAAGTTCTACAATTTTTCTCCAAGATATGTATTTTTTAAATAAATTTATTGTCTGCAAATAATATGATGTACACTTTTTTTATTATTTACAAAAATTGTTGAGGTACATGAAAAAAACGAAAATACGTCCTCTTTAAAGAAATTTCAACCCTCTTGAAGCACGTCATAGGGTTGTACTATCGTTATAAAATTACACAAATATTATTTTTTTTATGGTTTAGTTTCAAATTAGAAGGTGGCGCAGTTTAAATTTTGATCTTCAATTTTAAGGACCACCATAATGTACATATTTATTATAAATTTGATAATTGATGAACCTAATATTTTTTATAAAAAAAATATATACGCGATTCGTTCTTTGTTGGGCTGAAAGAAACCATCCATTCTTCTTTGTTGTAATTTATTATAACTTTGCTTATTGACAAACTTTATTCGGGGGATAGTCGACTCTTATCTTCATAGAATATAAGGTTGTAGGAGATAAAAAATTGATTAGCTAAAGTAATATACGTAGGTAATTGTTATTTTTTAAACATTAGACAAATCATATAAAATCTAAGACAGAGACAGATATTAAACAATTACAGTTTCGATAAGAAAGTAGATATGTATAGATCATACGTCCCTTATAAACGATGTTAAATTACTTAAAACGAATACGTTCGTAAGGGACTTTGCCTATTTGTCTCCATTAAGCGGTTTTCCCCTTTACGCAGTGTTCTCATTCAATGGATTTGAATGTAAATATACGTGTAGGTTATTATCAGGGCTAGGATTTGTATGCAATAAAAAATTGTAAAATATGCATTTTATTTACCAAAATATGCAAAAATATGCATTTAAATTTTTATAAGATAAACACAAAAATATAATTAAAAAAAAAATATTTGTTTATTGAAATACATCAGTGGTTGGATTTTTTTCTTAACCCTACAATGCATGATTTTTTTATTTTTTATTTTTTAATTTTTTTGGGTTGTTATATTAGTCCTAATGAAGGGGAAATTACTAAAAAAAATTTTGGTATTTTTAGTCTCTAAAAAACCAATTTTTTAGTTTGTTGCCTGTGAGCAACGCTATGTATTTACGTACAACATAATTATTTATTAAATTTATAAATGTAATTTATTCATACACCTATTTTGAAAAGTTATATCGTTTATTCATTAACTATAAATATAAGAAAATAATTGATTAACTTACCAATTACAAAACAAAGTACCTATACATTTTTAAAAATGTAACTTAACATAATATAATTGAAAAATAAAATAAAACAAAAATAATTTAAAATAAATTTTAAGTTTGACAAAAATAACCAAGTTTTATACTTTAATCAGCAGGTCTAGAATTAAATATGAAATATTAATATTAAATTATAAATATTAATTACAAAATATACTAAAAACATCAATTTTTCGCATTCTTATAATCGAAATATGCAATAATATTGATTTTATTCAATATATGCAATAATATGCATTTTATCTAAAATATGCAAAAACATGCAAAATAAAAATACCACCATGTATCTCATCATGAGATGATTCGTGAACATTACTAACAAAATCAATAATCAGAAGTCGCAAAAAAAAAACATGCTGTTGCATACAAATCCTAGCCCTGGTTATTATTATCTATCATCATTTCCTATCAAAAATATCGTCTAATTTTACTAGGCTGATAATGGTAAGAAGCAATTTATAGGAACATTTTTTCGATTAAGAATTTACGACGGTTGAAATATTATTATTAGGTATTTAAGATATAGCTATTGAACTGTTTTTTATTATAAAACATATACCTCGGTTAGTTGTTGCTTTTGTTGTTAATAAATAATGTATCGTAGGTTGTAAAATGTACATATTAAGCTTTATTGTATTTCTATTATCTTCATCATACGGAACGATTTTATATAAAATTTACGGAATATCGTTTAAAATATTTATTTTTTGCTTCTAACGTATAATTTAAATTGTCAATGATTTTGTTTATCATTTTCAATGTAAACATAACAAATCGATAAAATAAAAAATTCTATTTCAGTATGTTATGCAGTAGGAAAGTCAGTCACCAAAACTCATGAACTATAGTTATACAGCGAAATATTGAGTGGAGTTTTAATACGTTTTAATTCCATAAATGTAATTATTATTATCATTGGTTTTAACTATTGTTTTCCCCTCTGTACATATCAGATAGATAAAAGTTATAGCTATGTTGATTAAATAAAACAACGAAGAATAATAATTGATATTTACGATGAACGTTTATTGTAAATATTACTAGTAAATAGTAAATAAAACTATTCGAGTTTTTGTAGTTATATGACATGATGACACTCAGGGACGGACTGAGAGAAAAATTCAGGCTGGGAAAATTTATTACCCAGGCCACATATTAATGTTTAGCTTATAGGCCGTTACTATAGTGTTGGGGGGAGGTATAAAAGAGCTGAGCTAATATTCTACCCCCCCCCCCCAACAACACTAGTATTTTATTTTATAATTATTTATTTATCAAATCTTTTAGTTTTTATTATATGTAAGAGTACATAAAAAAAATAAACATTCAATCAGTTTCAATATTTTTGTGATACTATTGTCTGTTCACGTCAATTTAATTTCGAAGGCCTAATTACGCGTATTTCTGTGACTCGTATTTCTATAACTGTTACAAATAACTTGACTTAATTTCTCAGCAACCCCGGCCCCTCATTCGTGTCGACGAAACATACACGATAATAATAATAATGCTTTTCTGTATCCCAAAATACTCATATTAACCTTCCAGCGGGCGCGCCGTTGTAAATAATACAATTTTATATTTATTTGTTTATTCAACTTATATTCTATTTTTCTTTTGTCGGTGGTCATGGTTAATCCTCTGAAATGTTAATATCTATGTTGTAGACAACTTTTGAAGTGTAAAAACTTCTTTTAAAAATTAATTATTTAAAAAAAAAAAGTAATATGACCAATGACAAATCCCAATAGGTCAGGCCACCGGGAACCTCCCGGTATCCCGGTGAGCAGGCCATCCCTGATGACAGTAGCCTTCTACTGTCATCATGACGTTTCCTTGGATGAAAAACGAATTTTGTCAGTAACTGCAGAAAATAATTGTGTTTAAAACATTATCTATGTTTATAAATACATATTTAACTAATAGTTTATTATAAGTGTCTTTTTAGTTACTACATATTCTATACTTTGTTTTGTATTGTTTTAAAATGATAATAAATGATTAGTAAAACATTGTACAGTTATCAAGTTATTAATTTATAAAATTAATTTTCACGTTTCTTTAATACTATCATTCCTATATTTTCGAATCAGTTATAAGACATAATATTACTTACCGTACCTACTGTATGCCCATTAGGGGCGTTATCGTTTCTTGTAAATTCTTTTTTTTACGATAAATCATTGTTATTATTAGGGTTGGGATTTTATAGCATTTACATATTTCTTATGAGATGCTTAAAAAATAGCAGAATAAGCTAAAAATGTGTTTCATGATACAAAGAACTCAAATAAAAAATTTTATTTTGCCTTTTTTTTACATATTTTGCAATTTTTAGTTTATAGTGCTTTTTTGGATTTTTTAAGACTTTTTTGCATTTTATCTGTGTTTTAATCAAAATCGGGCATATTTTATGAAATTGTATTTTGGTAAACGTGTTTTTTGATTTTTGTTGATCGAATTTTCATGATTTAAAATTTTAATTTTACTTTTAAATTAAATTATAAATATATAGATTAAGTAAATAGACCGATTACGCTGATGCAACTCTGTACAATCACAGCAATAATATATACATAAGTAGGTATAATATAATACATTAATTTTGTTTTAGTTATTTGGTTCTATTTTTGTTATCTGCTGATTTTGTTGGGTTTTTTTTGTCGATTTCTACTAAATCTACTAATAACCGAGTATCAACGAACGAGTAGAATTCACTTTATACAGTCCACATTCGTCTCTAGTGCTCGTATAAAATTATTAAATAATAAATTTCCCTTTTTTTTTTTGTTCTTTTATTGCATATTTTTAGTGCATATTTAGCAATTTTCAAGGTAATATTATAGCGCATATTTATGTAATTTTAAGTGCTATAAAATCCCAACCCTGGTTATTATTATTTCTTTTCGCCGTTCATATTGTCCGGGCAGGACCAAATGACCCGAGCAACGCGTGCATTTCCCCTGGTACTCGCCCGTAATATACATTGACGTATAGGCCGACCACGGTCGATATTAAAATTTGTGTCGATCGATTTATCGTATCCGATATAGGTGTGACGACGAAACGGAACAGAAGTCTAGAACGAGTCTAGAAAAATCTAATCGTATAGGAATGAAAAGCGCGTACGTAAAGGACAGAACACATTACACGCGTACAAGGGCGCACGCACGCGCGCACGCACTTGTTGCGTCGGTGTCGCGGTTACGTTGGAAAACCGCACCGGTGTGACGAAAGCGGAACGAGCCAATGGGAACGTGGTCGGCGGTCGATAAGAGGCGGGAACGGCGACGGTACGCCATTGGCGAGAAGCCGCGGACGGCCGCAGCCGCCACCGTTATCGCTGCCGCCGCCGACGCCGAGAGCCGCGTGCCCGTCACACGCATTTCGGACACCGCGACGGGCGGCCCTCTGCAGCTGACCGGCCGTACACGTCCACACGTTCCGCGTCGTATCCGACGTTCCGCCGCGAGTCACCGTCACCGCGTTACCGTTCCGCACGCCTTTGAAACGGCGCGCGGTGTACGCTGCGGCCGACCGCCGACGGTACATTGTCACCGCGATCATGAGCAACGCGAAAACCACCACCTCGGTCACGTCAACCGCTGCGGCCGCGGCCGCTACGGCTGCCATGTTGTTGCACCAGCACCGGTTACCGTTGAACCATCACGCCGCCACCGCGTACCATCAACACCAGCAGCACCAGCACCACTTGCAACATTTGCACCACCAACATCGGATCCAACAAGAGCAGCAGCAGCAGCAGCAGCAGCAGCAACAGCAACAGCAACAGCAGCAGCACCAGCAGCAGCAACAACAACACGGTGCCACCGCGGCCCAGGAAGCTGCGGTCGCGCAGCAACAGCAGCACATCAAACGGCCCATGAACGCGTTCATGGTGTGGTCCAGGGGACAGCGGCGCAAGATGGCCCAGGAGAACCCGAAAATGCACAACTCCGAGATAAGTAAGCGGCTGGGCGCCGAGTGGAAGCTCTTAAACGAACCTCAGAAACGACCGTTCATCGACGAAGCCAAACGGTTAAGGTACGACTCGTCTATACACAGTGTTTTGCGCGCGTTAAATTACGAAGCCACTTCACTCGCCTATTAAATGTACACGTTTTCTCTCGCTTAGAATTTCGTTAGCCATGCAAAAGTGGTCGGTCTTCCGGTCGGTGGTACCCGGTCTTATTTTAATGGGCAGTTCGACCAAAATTGGACTGTAGGAAAAATCAAAAGAGCGGTTGACTATTTGAATATGGGCACCCCACAAAAATATAATTTTCCTTAGCAATTAGTATTTGAAATGTGTGTAATTTAAAAACCCGATCCAGTATCTAATAAGTAATAATTATGTAAGTTTACAATATTTGCTGCTTTCGATTGATCTATGAAATTTAAATTTAAATAGTGGCACACGTACAACGGAAAAGACCCGTATTTTTTTTTAATATTTTACCACGCGATGATCGAAATTCTAAAATATCAATATACAATTTATTTGGGGAGGGGTAAGTATTATAGTCCGAATACATTTCGTAAAACAAACTTGTCAGTGTGTTTGGGCAGTAGGTAAAAATCCTTAGAATAAGCCCTGGGTGGTACTTTAGGCATAAACTCGGTGTACCTGTACGCTGTTTGTGACGTACCGATTTCTGTGCGATTTACACGCGCGCTTGACATAAATTAACATTGTGCCACGGCACCGAATAAAATATGCATTCTCGCCTAAATATATAAGAATATTATTATGTCACGTTTTACGTATGCAATACATTTATACATGGTAAACGATTGATGAATAAGTACATAATAAAGCGATTGACGTATTCATTTGTAGTTCGTTTGTTTGTGCTATATTCAACAGTGTTGGGACGAAAAATAAATGTAAGACAATAATTTTAATGATATGTTAAGAAATTCAAATAAATATGATTAACAACGACTAAAAAAAAAAAATGCATTTAACAATATTTATTTCGTAAATATGCACGCAATTGTCAAAATTATTATATTTTTTGGATTAGTATAATTATTAGTGATTAATAGAATTTTAAATCATCTCAATTCGCAACGTATATAGGTATTTCATTTTTACATGTTGAACATTAAAATTATTTGTATTATGCACCTATGGCTTACATTTACACCTTTAAATAAAATTGAAAACAAAACTTTTATATCCATTATCTATAAATAATTTTATTAAATAATATAAGTACCAATTTGTTTTTAATATATGTGGTATATCAATAAACTTTTAACAATTTAATTTGAATATGTGGCGTGACCGGGAAAAAAATGTATTGGACGAAAAAAAAAATAGTCTTTAAAAAAGAGAAACGAACAAAATGTTTAACTTTTTGGCATTAGACAAGGCAATTGAGTTAATAAAAACACAATGATGTACATAGTCACGAATATAGTATAATAAGATAGATTTTTCTATGTATCAGTACGTGCAATAATAACAAAAATATAAATGTGCCTTATCAAAATAGCTTACATATAATATTATCAGCACTTATCGTGTACGTATTCCGAATTGTACTCTTATAATATTAAAATTTTAGAAAAGTTCCTATTTTGTATAACGAATGTTCGATATTATAATATATGTAGGCGAGTATACTTACACAACCAGTTAGATTTTATGTAAATAAATTCATATAGATTCTTATCGAAGGAAATCATATAATATTTTCAAAACTCTAGACTATTCGCTTACTATAAAATAGACGACGGGCAAATAATATTTTCTCAATCATTTCTTCAATCGTGTGATTCATGTTAAAATAATTATCGCAAGTTACCAAAATTTATTTATTTAGGATTGGTGGTAAATAAAATTATATTAATAAAGAAATTAATATTGTTGTCTTATTTGTGGAAATATCGAAAAAATCTTAGTGAATTAGATCGCGTAACAACTACGAAATACGATTATAATTGAATAGTGGACATAGGCATCGCCAGAAATTTTGTCAGAGGAGCGCATCATGCACAGAATACACACTGATTTTTAAATAGCGCATAAACTGTTTAAATATGCAGGAATATTTTTCAAATTGTATGACAGTACAATGTTATTTTAGTTTTTTTCAATGGCCATAAAATAATGCAAGCTACTAGAAAATCCCATATTGATAATAGTAGCCTCTATCTTACATTTTTAAATGTTATTATTTTTGAAAAAAAAACCGGGGGGTGTTAGAGACGCTAGAGATGCTCTCGCGGCGTTCATAAATGTATATACGAACTGTGAGGTACACGAACAAAATTCGCTAAACATTTTCACGTGAGTTAGTCTGTCCAAGCTAAGTTGTAGAACTGTCATAATAATTTCTCCCTGTGCTCTATTTAAGTAATATTATTCTAATCATCATAGTTAAAATATTTGAAAAATAAAATGTAATTAAGATTTTACATTTCAAAATTATTTTCAATCCAAAGGTTAGATCAGCTCTTTAGAACCCGAAGAATCACATGCATAATGAAATTTTACGTAAAAACCGATTCGATTTTCGAACTTTATAACGTGCAATAAAGGATTATCGTTTTTCCACGTTTCGTACAAAGGTGTAGTAATACACAACAGAGTACCGAAAATAAACATTCAATATACTCGTATACGCAGCGAATATAAATACGTATATACATATGATAATTACTCGTTCACGATTACCTTAACGGGCTCGATGTACAATAATAGTTCGTGCACGTATGGAGTTTTGAGAGATGTATATAGGTACCTATTATAGGTATTATATTGTGTTCGTCTGTATCACGGACGACCGTACAAAAATATCAAAGCTTGTATGTATAACGCCTTGTCGGGTATGTGATTGATTTTCGGTTTTACAGACCATTTGAAATCATTAAGAATAAGCAACGGTGGTGGTGGTGGTGGTGGTGGTGGTAGCATCGTCGTCGCATCGGGTGTAGATACAATACGATGTATACACTGTTGTCTGTGCGTTCGCCGGAGAGAGACAAAGATAAAGAGAAAAACAAACGTACAATGAAAAAGAGAGAGAGAGAGAGAGTGATAAAGAGAGCCGTTAGTGTAGACAGAGAAAAAAAATAAATAAAAGCGATTTATCACAATTACCGAACTATTGTACCTGTATTCGATCGTTTCACCCGAGTCTGTTGGCCATAGAAGGTACCGTATAGTCGTTGTGTGTGTGTGTGTGTGTGTGTGTGTGTGTGTGTGTGTATGTGCACCATCGGCGGTGGCGTACGCATTATATTACTATTGTGTACACATTGTCGTGGAAGGTTTTTATTTTTTGTTTTTGTTTGTCACATGAGTATAAAAGTATAAATATATTTGTAAGCATGTTATTGGAAAATAATGAACTCGTGTATTTCGAGTATAAACCTAGTGCGAAATACATATTTTCGTAAATTTTATTTATTTTTTTTTCGGCAGATTATATCTGCAATGTACAATAAATTCTATATAAATATTACTTTTTTTCGATTTAACAATACTTGGCTACAACACGATTGATCATGAGCATAAAAATATTTTTTACAACACGATTGAGCAAATTGATCGGCTTAGCAAAGTATATAGAAATACGAAAGAAAACCTACACGATTGAGCTTAAAAAACTCTGCTAAGATTTTCAATTTTGTACTATATTATAAAAAAAAATTATTTATTTAAACAATTTTAATAATACCTTGGTATCTATTTTAAAAATGGAAAATATAGATTAGAGATTCCGTTTTCTTATGATTTGAATATTGGTTGAAAACTTTTATGTTAAATTGTAGTGTTTTAACTTTTTTAGTGGATTGTAATTATGTTAAATTTAATTAATCCTAGTCAACGTTTCTGCTTTTGTTTTGATTAATTCACTAATAACTGCATGATGGGGTGAACAAAATTGCGAACTGTACGTGCGATGAAAGATTTCGGCTGCATTGGTCATACTACAAAATTAAATAAAACAACAGAAACATGAATATTTAAGTTGTTTATGATAAAAAATAATTTTAAAAAAACATAATAATAACCTAGGATTTAGCGAAGGGATTTCAAGCCAAATGGCGAAAATTGGCAGTGATTTTCAAAATATTCGTGTAGTCAGAAAATATATAACCGTAATGGCAAAGTTGCATAAAATATTCTATGCTCAATCGTGCTTTACCACAATATTTACATACATAATCTTTTGTGGGCAATAAGCACCATATAACTCCTTTCACGCGGTTAGGAAGGTGGTGAAAAAAAATAGGTCATCGGTGTCTATGAATGTAACGATTATTAATCTTTCAGTTCTAAGATAAGAGCTACAGCAAAGCACAAAGAGCGTGACGAAATAACAACAGTAAACCTAGAAATTCATCGATACATACCTAACCAAGAAATATATTATGATGTTTATTACCTGCCAACAGTGGTGTCACTTTTTAGGGGAGTCGAATAAAAGAAAAAAGTCAAGAAGGATGAGGACTATATTATTTTACCCATACCCAAAAAAATCTTAGATGTGCCTTGGGTATTCAAACATCATTTATTGCACCTAATATAGATATTTATTGTTTTTTTTTTAATTCGTATATTATAATTTTGCAATAAAAATTGCAATAATTGCGAAAATCGCAAAAAGTTCCCTAATTAAACGAAACAGGAATACTGTAATCAATCGGATCCGTATACGTATTTGATCAGATTTGATTTATCGAATAAAAAGTTGCAATGTCTATTAAATCCAATCGTTAACCGTCAGAACGCCAACGGAGCGTAGGACAATAAAACCGAATACACGCACGCGCACGCGTACTGCTATATCCTGGTTCTCCGTGTCGACATATTATCTCCGTACGAGCTGTGTTTGTTGCGTTTTTCGTCCGTTTTCCTGTTTTTTCCCACCCCTCGGCAGATAACGCTCGCCCAAGATCGTAACGTAAGATCGTACGTTATATTGTTATAAAGTATGGTTTTTTTTTATATATATATATATATATATATATATATATATTACACACGCTCGTGTGTTTACGCATAATCTTGCAAACAATGGGCGGCGGCCTCCTTTCGTGCGCGCGTCGGGTGACGGCCAAACGGAGCGCGGGTTATCCGAGGGACGCGATAAACGACCGCGACGGCGACGGGCGGAACGAGGTATTTTGTGCCCTGCGTGACTGGCATACCCGTACGTCTATATTGTTATAATCACTTGCAAGCTTGCACGTGGAAAATAAACACACTCTCTCTCACTCTCTCTCTCTCTCGATTCGCGGTAATCTCCGAACGTTAACGCGTGCGAACCGGAACTCATTTCATAGATTTATACTTAGAACATTATGTTACGTTCGAACGAAAATCTATATATAACCCAACCGTCGAAACGGATTCGACGTTGCACGCGACCAGATTAGGCTTGAGCATTATGAAGTTAAAACGTGTATCGACATTACGCGTCGTCGTACGGGAGAAGTGACCGCGGGACAAGCGTTTACACTCCTTTTCCGGTTCGAAAACGTGTCGGGATAAAAATATGAACACCGATTTGTTCATATCGTACGCGATTTCGTCTGGCAAACGTCAGTTGTTCCAGTGTATCGACTATTTTATCACGTAGTCGAATCGACTTTGATCGGTTCGTTAAATCTAAAAAAACAAAAAGAAAAAATGTTGTATTTGTTTGGAATAACAAGCAATAACTCTATAAGTATTATTTTACGAGTCTTATTTTTATTTTTCATGTACTTTAGGTTTGTTGAAAACTAAACAAAAACAGTATTTTAGGAATTGAACGTCTATTATATAGAAATCCGATACCGATCTGAATGTTAAAGTAATATTTTTATCTGTCATATGTGATATATTTAGCTTTTACTTGATATACATTTTATTTATTTATTCGACGTTTCTATACAATTTTTGCCGAATGAAAAATGTATTTAAATTTTTTTATAATTAAATTGTAAAACAGAAAAATAACAGTAATTTGTTTCTTTATAATTATTTTAAATAACACAACTGATTTATGTGAATAATATTGTTATTTTGACGATTACGCATTCTAGAGTTATTCGAATAAATCTCAAACGCATATTTGAATTATTTATGCAACACTATAAAAAGCGAAAATCTCCAACGTATAAAACTTGATTTAATGAAACAATAACAAAATTAAAGTTAAACAATTGTTATCTACAACAATACCAACGGTTACAATATTTATTTTTGTTAAATTCAAATATACTAAATCTAGATACCTACACATTATTTTAAATATCCATTTAAACATATTAAATATAATTTTAAACATACCTATTTATAAAAACATATGATGCACTTTTGTCAATTATAGGTAACACAAAAAATACAAATATAACATATACACATAGACATGATGTGAGAGAAAAAATTTTTAAAAAAATGCAGTTTATATTTTTGCGGATTTAAAATATTAAATTTCATTAATATATAGATTCATAATTTTATGAACATAATATAATATATACAGTATATTTACTAAGAATATTAACTTTTTTTTTTTTTTTTTTAGAATAATTTAGGCAATTTAGAATAATATTTAGTAATCATATTCAGTGATAAAAATAATCAAAATTTAAATATTTAAAATTATAAATTACAACTCAGTTAAATCGAATCGGTTATATTTGCATCGCTATTTATAATGACATTTAGATTAGTTTTGTGTTAAATTTTGAGAATTCATAATTATTATATGATATCTAAAGTGTTAAAATTTTTTAAATAACAAAAAAATTATTAAAAAATGTTGTATTGTTTATTAAACAGTCCAATCATGGTTTTTCTTTTGAGAGTAATTTTCTCATAGAATATTGAATAATAATAGATTTTGATCTGAATACAATTTTTTTCACTTTCAGGAGGAATGTAAATATTTTCGGTTCACTAAAGTTAATTACATTATTTATACTTATAAATTCTGAAAGAAATAAATATTTATTTTCAATATTGGACACAAATAATTTTAAAGCATTGTTTGATAGTTGTTTTCTAAAGCTGCGTTCACAACTAACAAACATTTTACAAGCGTTTGGTCAAATGTTCGTCAAAAATCCAAAATAATCAACATATAATTTTGTTCATCAATGTCCCAAACAAAATTGTTCGCTTATGTTTCGGACATTATGGCTTACATTTTTTGAGAAGCAAAATTATCTCATACAAATAACTGTTTATTTAATACATATTAATGTGTATTATTTTTTAATTCGAAGTATACACTCGAGCTATAGAGTTGATATTATATCATTCCTCTTCTTTAAGTTTGTTCAAAACCACCACTAGTAATCTTAAATTGATATTTACAAATAACACTAAAAAAAATAGTAATTAATATTTCAAAAAATCATTTGCGTGTAAACCCAAAATCAAACGCTCACCACTAAAAGTTTTTCTTTATTGTGGTTATTATCTTATCCACAATGATCTCTTACTGCTATACTTCATATTTTTAATTATTTTGAAAATTTATGGATCTAGCTTCTACTACCGGCAACTTGCTCCAGAGACACCATAATCAAAAAAGTAGATTAATAATTTGAACAATCATATAGGCGAACAAATAAAATGTTTGTTATTTTGACAAACTGTTCAGGTAACACTAGGCAAACATTTGATGAACAACATTGGGTAAACGTTCGACGTTCAATTTTTGTCCAAATATTTATTAGGTTTGAACACAATTTAACATATAGATATTATAATTTTTTGGATTTTAACCAAACAGCTTTTTTTGATTTTCAATAAACTATAATAAATCTTTTAACGGATTTAATAAAATAATAGACATTTCAAATTATCATCCTTAGAAAAAATAATCTATGATACTATTTAAACCCACATTAACTTTTCGATCGGAAAGTCAACAATAAATTATACTTTTTTATTGGTAATAAATATATTACTAGAACATTAATTGATGTTTAACACATTCAAACTTAAAAGTAATCTATGTTCATCTTCTAGAATTGTGTACAGGTACTACAGTATTCTATACAGGCATATAAAATACGTACAATATTATTATAAATGTTCTTATTAATCCAAATGGTGTACCACTTTGCGTCCAGTTGTGAAAGTTACATTGTTTCGATCAAAATCCGTGAGATCGCTTACCATCGGAAAATTTATCCGTGTAAAACGTGTAGATCGTTATTCATCCACCGATCATTCTCTTGGCAGTTGTTGAAATCTCCGTTTACCGAAATAAAAATAAAGTTACTCTTTTGATTACACGAGTGTTTTACGATTTCTAATTATTAACTTTTAACTTTGGTTCTTACCGTAAAACACTTAAAAATGTAAACCGACTATATTGCTCACACAAAAGGATTATTACCCGTTTATCATAAATAAATAAAATAAATACATTTCTCTCGCGACCGCGATCAACAAACAACGATTAGTGTACGTGTTTGTGTGTGTTTTTGATTTCAGAGCACTGCACATGAAGGAGCACCCGGACTACAAGTACCGTCCACGACGCAAGCCCAAGACGATGGTGCAGAAGAAAAACGACACCGGTGCAACGGGCGGCAAACCGGTGCCGTACTCGGTGCGCGACCTGTTACCGCAACACGACTCGCCGGCCACGAGCATCGGTAACGGCGGCGGGTCGACCGCGACCACCGGTTCGATGCTGATGTCAGTGGCGGGCGATCAACAGTCCGCCGCGACCGCGGCGGCGGCAGCGGCAGCAGCGGCCGCGGCGGCCGTGGCCAAATTCCCGCGCGCGTACTTCTCGCCGTATCACCACCACCACCACTACCCGCCGTCGTTCTACCAGCAGGTGGCCAAGGACCTGTCGGCCGCGGTGGTGGCCGGCGGAGGCGGCACCGACGCGTCCACCGCGGGCAAAGCCGTCCACGACTTTGCGTTGCACGCGTTCTACGGCAGTTCGCTGTACTCGCGTGCCGTGTCGTTGGCCACAGCGTGGCCGATGATGACCGCGGCCGCCGCGGCGAACGTAACGGCCAGCGGCGGCGGTGGCGACGGCGACGGTGGCGGTGGCGCTGGCGGTGGCGGCGGCTCGGTTTGCCCGGTCGACTGCGTCGAGTGCGGCCAACACGCGGAACGCTCGCCGCGGCCGCTCTCGCTTCCGCCGTCGTTACCCGTGCAACCGTTGCCCAGGCCGTCGCACGAGTCCCCTGGGTCGTCGTGCACCCCGTCGCCGCCCGCTCGAACGCTCAGCCCGATCTCGACCGCCGGTTCGGCCGCGGCCACCATCAAGCGGCCCATCGCCCTGATCGTGAAACCCGAACGCGTGGTGCCGGCCCACCTCCATCCGCAGCACGTCATATGAAAACCGTTGCCGGTTCTTCCGGAACCGGCCGCCGGTGCAGCCACCGCGATGTCGTCCGTACGGCCGTGCGGTTGGCCGCAGTACTCGTCGTCCGCGTCGCCGCCACCGCCGCCACTGGCGCCGCCGCCGCCGCCGCCGCCGCCGTCGTCGTCGTCGTCGTCTTCGCCGTCTCCTCTGTCCAACCCGCCGTGGTGGCTGCAACAGTTGCAGCAGCAGTTGATGATGTGCAGCGGCATGAACAATCCCGGACCGGCGCAGCCCACGCAGCCGACCGCCGCAGCGCAGGACCGAGCGGATTAGAGAGTTGCACGCGGGTGATTGAAATTCGATTTTTAAAAGTTCCACGTCCCGGTTTCCGTCACATAAAGCGTCAAATCAAATATCCGCACAAAAAAATGATCGATGACCGGAACAGTTCGACCGCATGTTAAAATCATTTTAACGTGCAGTCGAATCACTGGGATCTGTATCGCAAACTGTAAATAATACACTCGTGTAACCGAGAAACATCACGGTTAAAATGCGAAACTGCAAATTTGTAACGTAAATATTCTTTTAATAATTCTTTTTTTTTTCCCCGCGTAATAATAAAACTATCGACATCACTGAACCGATCATTCGTTATTGTCGATACCTTTATCGTGTACATACGTTATTAAAATTATGTTGCGGCGTGTTAGCCATTCGTACCTATTTATATACATTATTATAATACGTATAATGTATAAAAAGATTAAACTTAAAATAACTGTGTTATTTGCAGAATCCGTTGAGCACATGTGTTTAATACAGCTGAGAATGGTTGGGTTGAAATTTTATTTGGTTTATTTGTTGGAAAATATAATTTCTAACCATTTACAATATACTTAGTACTCGTTTGGTAACGATTTTTTTAAACTTTATGTACATAAATTAATACGTTTCAACCTCTTCGCCTGTTTTAATATATTTAATCGTATAAATGCTTACCTTTTGATTTAATTATTTTAATCACCAAGAAGAACAAAACAAGCAATGTATCGATATTCATATATTTGTTGCAATGGGATAGTTTTGAAAAGTTAACACTACAGTCATTCTTAGTATCCGGTTAACTAAACACAACGGTCTGTTGTCGAGAAGTATACGATTTTTTAACTCGAAATAACGTTCTTGATCTCAGCGACCGGTAAATAAATATTTTTTAAATTACTATTGTGTTTAGTTTATTTTTCATGAGTATAAATATAAAATATAGACCAAAATATTATTTCAGTGACAAACCATAAGATAAAAAGTCAATTCGATTTTCATTATTCCCGAGTTAATTCAGGTAAAAAAAATTGTTTTACTGTTAATGTTCCACTGTACTTTTTTATTGAATAAAAACAAATTAAATATTGCTTCGCCGTTAAATTGAAATGAACGAGAAGAGGATAAAAGCAAAAAAAAAAAATTAATAAATAAGAATAATCATTTAAAAAAAAAAAACTCCATTATATACGATTTATATCAATTTTATTAATTAGAAAGCGTTCGATAAAATAAAAACTTAAAGATAGAAAGATTCTTCATATATTACAATACCTTCACAATACCTGGTATTGTGTTTTACATTATAATATCTTTATTTTAATCATACAATAGGTATTAATATTGGTAAAACTATTGGTTTTATTTAAAAAGACGTTTGTCCTCGTTATGGATCAAAACATTAAGTTCGCAGTGACAATGAAGTGCAATGGAATGTAAGAAAGTACCTGAATTGCCTAACTGGCTCGCCGTGTGGCATGTAATTAAGAATAAAAATCCCGTCTAATATGTTATAATAATAGTGTATAAATAAAACATATGCTTTGTGTTAAAACTTTAAACTATGTAATATTCAAATATTATTTTTTATTTGAAATATTTTTAATTATTTATAGAATGTAACTAACAACTAAAGCCATTGTAAATATGTGGTTTACAACGAATCTGAAAATCTTATAACAGTGTATTAAAATATTTTATTTCTTTTTCTTCTCCCAACTATTTAAGGTAGGTCACTCTTGTCCTAAACTTCCACTCATTTCGATTTTCTATATCCTCTAAGTATTTAACCAACAGCCCTCGTATAATTTTCAATCGTATCCAACCATCTCTTTTTTGGTCTTACTCTTGCTTGTTTCCCTTCAACATTAATTTTCATAACTGCTCTTACCACTTTTGTTTCCTGTCGCCTCATCAAATGACCAAACCATCTCAATCTGTTTTCTCTCATCTTGTCCACTATTGTCGCTACACCAATACTACCTCTCACGTATTCGTTCCTTATTCTATCTTCTGTTATCACTCCACTCAGCCATCTCGGCATTCTCATTTCTACAACACTCATACTCTGTTCTATTCTACTGTCAACTGCCCAACACTCTGAATCATTTAGCATAGTTGATCTCACTACACTCCTGTAAAATTTACCTTTAAGCCTCAATTGAATTCTCTTATCATATAAAACGCTCGATGCTTCTCTCCATTTAATCCAACCCCACTTAATCCTATGTTATACATCCATGCCAAAGCCCACATCCTTTTATAAAAATGATCTTAAATATTTTTAGTTATCGACTTCACTTATCACATCACCGCTTATTATCATTGGTCTTCTCATAACCTCAACTTCTTAGTATTTTCCTCCAAAGTCTTACTCTATATGCCCTGATTTATTCCTACTAATTTTTATTTTATGTTAGTTTTAAGTTACGTTATTAAGCTCACTGTAGATAGTAAGATATTGTTTTATCAATGTGTATCTATAATGATATGATGATCTAAATAAACTGCGAAATTACTATATCAATGAGATACGTTAATAATGATTGGATTTAATCGATTTTCTAATTTATTCCAAAATTATATTTTTGCGCAATATAGTTTTGTGATTTATTTTCAATGTTAACAAAATCTATTTATTTTGTTTATAGTCATGATTTATACTGTAGGCAGATCTCCTTTGTTCTATGTACTATAGAGATCAATTTAATATTAAGTTAATAAATATCGAGAACTAACTATCATAGTTTGTTCATGTAAAATTACAATTATGTTGTGGCAACTAGGTCATTATGGATATGTATGTGTTACTTTTAAATTGTATTGGAATATCATATAATATTTATTTATTTGTAATTAAATAATAATATATTGTGGACGTTTAGTTGAAATAAAACCAATACTGTTATTAAAACGATGTTTGTTATTTTTAAAATGCATTTGGTGTATTTTTCATACAGAAAAATTATTGTAATTAATTTAGTGAAACAGAAAATAAGAAGCCAATTATTCTAAGCAAAATTAAAGTTAAACACGTCATGCAGATATAAATTTTAATTCGGAACAGAAAATTCGTAAACATAAAACAGTTCAAACACGTTTAATCGATAATATTACAAGGAAGAAATGTGTAAAAAATAAGAAATGTTGCACTGTTAGTTTGTTCCGGCTGTAATACATTTGGGCATATATAGTAAATAAATAAATTAATAAATTGTTAGGCTTTATAATTACGTAACATTTATGTGTACATCATATAAATTAAAAATTATTATTAACTATAAACGTGTACAAACATATTTTAAAGAAAACGTATTGCTTTTATTCATTGCGTTTTTATGTGAATCCATCCGAGGTTTTTAAAATTTATCTAATTAATCTACAAATTATTGAAATTAGAAAAATAGTCCTAAAGCAAACATAATGGGCTATTATTTTTAAACTTCCTAATTTAATTCGTACTGTTGATTTATTTTTTCTTCATAAAAATCGATTTAATCAATAATATCAAACAAAAATCTTAAATCTATAAACATTGATCGATGCACTGAACTTTCTCAACCTATCACATGCTATCGTCGAACGTTCAAAGTCAATTTTAGACAATCGACTTGACTCGAAAAAACAATACGTCCGTAAAAACGTGGCAAATTGTACTACCTCGCACCTGAAGATCGGTTTCGTACATCTAAACCCGCGGTACGCCAAACATTTCCAGACGCTCAATGTTTACCATCATCGCATTACAGGCAACCACTAGCGATCATATTTCCGAGTGGACTTTCCGAAAATGTTTTCGTTCCCGGTGAGCAGCGTGTCGACGGCGCGCTTGTCCAAATGTTTCGCGTGCCGTTCACGCGCGAACGATAAATATGCAAGTGAAAAAGAAAAAAATCACAAAATACGTCGAGCTACTACTCGTATAATATTGAGATGAGCCGATGGCACGACGTCACGTCCTTGCGGGGGCAAAAGTCGATATTTTTAACGCTTCAAATTGGTATCCTTTGTCGACGACAAAAGGATGACTGGCACTACGGTTCGACCGAGTGGCACGGCGGCGGAGTAGAGGGGAGGTGGTTACGGTTTATTTCCGAGACGACGCGTGAAAGGGTAAGCGGAAAGATGTAAAAGAAATATAAAAAAAAAAAAAAAAAAAGAAGGATTTTCGGCGCGCAACGACCATGCGGTGTACGTAGGTTGTCCCGAAGAGGTTCGGCCTCGCATTATCGTGGCCGTACGTGAGCGCGCGTGTGCACACGCGCCCCCGTCAACCGCGTCGGAACGGGCGACGGTGTGGAACGGAACGGACGCCGCACAGTCGCCGTCGAACACGCGTGATCGGAATTCGATATTTTTCGGTGGCTATATTATGCACGACCGCGACCGTACGGTAGTAAATACGCGGTTCGCGCGTCGAGGGAGAAAATAGACGAAAATAATAATAATAATAATACGTCGTGTAAAATAATAAACAGCACGGGCGGCCGCGTCATGAATAATATCGTAGGCCGTGGCGGGACTTGAACGGCGGTCCCAGGAGTAGAGAGAAATAAACGTCCGAGCGCGTACATCGTGCTCGATGTAAACCCGAAGTATTTACACTGCAGCTCGGCGCCTAAGATAAATGCACAATGAAACGGTTACGCACGGGGACGCACGCGGCCCACTCGTCCGCCGGCGACCATATGGTTCCCGTGTTTTTCTCCACTTGTTCGACCGGAAGCAGAACTCCGGCGGACGACGAGAAGTCGTGCCACATAGATCCCGCACGGTAGCGGTCCGGTCTAGTACGGTCCTAGTACACGGTACACTATGTACCGTCGGTTTGGTCCGGTTCAATAATTTTTAGGAGCAGTTCGGTCCAGTCCTCAGATCAAACGCATTGTTTTCAGTCCGGTCCCAATCATTGTACTTAAAACCTAAATGCAAAAAATGTTATGTAAACAAATAAAACGAAAAAAAAAAAAACCTACGGCTTTAGGTATTAATTTATCTATAAAGTCGGGTAGTCCGGTCCAGTGTAATACTAAACGCATCATGTGGTACGGTCTGGGATAATACAGACTGAACCTTACGGACCGGTCCATAAACGGTCCAAAACGTTTTATGATCGGACCGACAGTCCGGTCCACGGTCTACTTTATTAAATGTTGTTTAATTACTGGTCCGGTCCGGTCTAAAAATAATATGAAGCCGTCGGTTCGGTTCAGTTTTGGTCTTTGATTAACGTTCAAGTGTGGTCCGGTCCGATTTCGGTCGCCTGGTAAAATTTGAAGTCCGGTCTGGTCCTGAAAATAACGGACCGTGCAGAGCACTAACGTACGGGCACGCGCGAGCAACGCGTTCAAGCGCGGATAAACATCGGTTGTCCGCAGTGGCGCCGGAACCATTTTTGAACCGCAAGGGCTGTTTAGCACAGCAACAAATACAGAGGAAGGTAAAAAGATATATTAACGACTGTGTCCGATCACATCGGTTGTTAGTAACTAAATGGTTCTTGAAATAAATTAAATTCAATTAGACCTATTGTACCTACAGTCGCGATAATGGATTTCCTGTTCTGAAAACTATTTCCGCTTTGGGATTCCGGTTCAATATTTAATCGTTTCCATTTTCTAAACAAGGAGTAACTGTCTTCATGTTATCTTATTCTTATACACACTAACCTACCTCGTGTACTACATAAAATATTTAGTTATTTCTAAATAAAACTATTAGTTTACCGTGTGTTAATACTCAAAAACAGACAGTTCATTAAATATATTTGAGTTTTGTTTCTATACTCAACACAAAAATCAATATAAAAGATGATGGCCCATGTATTTTATTCGCGGGAGCGTAAATTCTTGTCCACTGGGGCTATTCCCTCACGGAATTTTCCTCGTGAGGGCAGTCTCTCCTATTTCCCCCATTGTTCTGGCGCCCTTGGTTGTCTGCAGTACCGCGGCCATAACTGGCATTTCATACGCATAGAACGGACAATTATGCGGATTAGATTCTTACGGGATTTCGAGTCGTTAATTTTTTCTCATGGCTTACGAAGCACAGCAATCGACCCAAACGGTCTTATGATCGTTTACGATTCCCCAAAAATATTCGTATCATAAATATTAATCATATTTTACGGTCACTTTGATACCACATTATGTGGTATGTAAGTATGTTAATCAAAAACGACTAACAATGTATTACCGAGAACGTTTCAAATGTGTATTTCACTTTGTTTTTTTCGACTTATACATCTCTTCGATCATAATATTGCTGTTTAGAAAATATACATGAAATAAATACAACCAAACGATGTATTAAAAACTACTTGTTTATATTTGTCAAAATATCAAGGGGTATACTCGTAAAACGCAGTCGAAAAAGGTACTTAAATTTAAAAATTAAATCATATGACACGTTGCATTACTACCGATTTTTTTTACACATAAAAAAAACTTCCGCTTTAGATTGTCAAAACTTTCAAACAAAAGTTATTCTTTCTCAAGAATACATACCATTCAAGTTAAATTTATAAAAAATTAACATTACCCATTTCATTTT